CACCAAGTTATATGTAAGAGGTAAACCTATAAAACTCATAGAAAAAGATGTGGAAGGAAATCTTCGTCACATTGGATTATTTGTCAGTGATTTCTTAGATGTGACACCAAAAGCATAAGCAACAAAAAATTAGATAAATTAGACTTCATCAAAATTAAAAACTTCTGTGCATCAAAGGACACTATAAACCTAGTGAGAAGACAACCCATGGGAAGAGAGAAAGTAATTACAAATTTATATCTGATAAAGAATTAATAAAAAATAAAGAAAATAGTGACTAATTCTCACATAAAATGGATTCAATTTTGACTAAAGTACATCGCTTAAACATTAATTTTTACTTCAAGTTGTTAATATGTTTAGGATACAGGATATTACATCCTCATTTAAAAGTGAATTATGTTTATAATTTCCTCTTTATAATAATGATATTTTTTCTAATGTTAATATCAGGTGTATCCAGATTAAGCAGAATGATTTTGAAGTATTTCCCCTTTTTCTATTGTCTATAAGATTTGGCACAATCTGTTTTTTGAAATCATCTTTTATTTATAAATATTAGTTGTCTATTTTTTGAGACTTTGGGAAAAAATAATTAGAATTTAATTGATGACTCTATATTGAACCTGAGTCAAAGCATTCTACGATAGTCATACCCTTATTTGACAAGGTCAATGTTACTCTCTTTGCATTACTATTATTATTATTGCTTAATACTCCATAGCAGCAAATGTCTGATTTCTTTTCAGAATGTATTTATCTTCATTCATACTTTTTGAGATTTTTGTGTCCAGTCCTTCTCTTAAACATTGTTATTGTTGGTAAATTTTAAGCCTTTTTAATTCTGTGAAGGCAAAACGTGGAAACCTAATAATCACATGCATATGTAAAATTTAAAAAAAATTTTAAAAAGGAATTAATGTCCAGAATGTATAAAGAACTCCTGTAACTCAACAACAAAAACTAACTTAAAAATTGGTAAAGGGCTGGACTAGACATTTCTTGAAAGATGATATGAAAATGGCCAATATGCACAGGAAAAGATGCTCAACTCATTGTTAGGGAAATGCAAATCGAAACCACAATGGAATACCACTTCACACTCATTAGGATGGCTATTGTTAAGACAAATACACAAAACAGTAACGAGCGTGGGTGAGGATATGGGATGTCCCACCCTTCTTGCTTTGCTAGTGTGACTAGAATGGTGCAGCTGCTGTGAAAAACAGAATGGCAGTTATTTAAAAAATTAAACAGAGAGTCACCATGCCATCCAGCAATTCCACCTCTACGTATATACTGCAAAGCAAAGACTCTAAGGTAGTTGTACATCCGTGATCTCAGAAGTATGATTCACAATAATCAAAAAGTAGAAACAATCTAAATGCCCATCAAGGCCGAGTAGATAAACCAAATGTGGCATAGACATAAGGGAATATCATTCAACCATTCATACAGGAATGACATTCTGATACGTGGTACAACACGGATACACCTTGAAAATATTAAGCTAAGTAAAATAAGCCAACACAAGAGGACAAGTACCGTACGATTCCACTTACATAGGCTACCGAGAATAGTCAAATTCATGGAGACAGAAAAAAGGATAGTGGTGAGCAGGGCTGAGGGAAGAGGGCGTACCCACTGTGTTTACTGGGTACAAAGTTTCAGGCTGGGCTGATGAAAGTTCTGAAGATGGGTACACTGAATATATACTTAATGCCACTGAATTGTACCTTTTAAAATGGTTAAAATAGTAAATTTTATGTTATGTATATTTGACCCTAGGTATATATATGAAGGAGGAACTTAAATTATATATGTATATAGAGATAGGTATGTGTAGATGTGTGTATATGTACACAAGTATAGATACACATACAGATTATAAAAATTTTAAAGTAAATAATCAAGGGAGAGAATATTTCAAAATTGATAATGAATAGGTTAATCTAAAAGAGCTTATGTAGATTGGAAGGGAAAAAACTCAAAAGCTCAGAGTAGAAAAATTAGCAAGATGTTAACTGGC